TGATTGCTCAACAATTTTCGCGCTTTTGAACTCAGAAAAAAATATTTTTTCACTTCAGAGCACCTAGAGTCTTAGCTAGATATTTTTCGTTCGTTAACTTGAATTCATCAAATTATTTTAACTTTTCACTAGACATTGACTAGGCATGGTACCTAATGATAAATAAATAGACAAAATATTATTATTTCTGTATAATGTTATAATGAAATAAGTTCGTTGACTTTCTTTCATTTGGCTATTGCCAACTGCTTTATTGTCTCTAATTTGACGAGACTCGTGGAGTTTCCCTGGGACAATGAACCCTCTCACCCTGATACAAAGTATAGATTTATTGCCCCGCGTGCGTATTCCACGCATTACAATTACTTGTATGAAAAGGACACTTGCGGGTGTCACGCGTGAGGGGAAATTCCGCGTCCGTGATGAAATCTACACGATATTAAAAACACCCTAATAATGGCATTTATATTTCATGGAAAAACATTTACTATTTTAAATAAAATACGAGTAATTTCGCTACCCTTTGTAGGTTTTTACAGACCCTCGGCTATTGATTGCGTCACAGCGTGCCGAGTGTCGGCATAAAGCATTTATGTACAGTCAGTGTCAAATAGTTCGTAACACCCAAAGTGGTCAAAAAGTTGACAACACAACCCTATTCCAATTGTAACAAAGACGTGTTGCAACCTTTTTGACTACTGGATGTCACGGACTATTTGCCGTTGACTGTACACGGCACATCAAGTGAAACAATGTGGCAGCCAATGCAGTTGTGATAAGAGCGAATTTGCAACAAACATGTAGGCTTTTGTGCCGTTGTATGTTCTTTGTGAGTGTATCAACATATTTTACGTATTAAATTCCCGCATCCTAATGAGAGCTCGGAGATAAATGAATTTAAATTCGTGCAGCAATCAGCCCTATATTAAGCTAGCTTCGTTGCCCGGGTTACACAACGCCTGTTGGTGGTTTGAATCCTGTTGAAGGCAAAATGTTTTGTAATAAACACGAGCATTCATTTTTATTACATTCTCTACTTATACAAATTTAGGTCCTAACAAAGTTTTCTTGATACTAGCACAGAATAATAAAATAAGTACTATACTAGGCACAAGCTTACGAAATAACGATTAAGGAATCTCTACATATACCACACATTAAGATGAGAGGAAAATAATATGACATGCATGCATACATTTCTATTGGCGTATTTAGTTACCGATTCAAATGAAAGCCAGAGTTAGTCAAAATTCAACCCACGTTCTGCTCATCTCACCGTGTGGGCATTAATATTATCGATTGAATCAATTTACTGGTATATTTTTAAATCTCTTCAGCTTTGCCTACGTCCTATATCTGGACTGACCATCGCCAGTCAGAAAATATGTTTTTCCTTTTGGTTAAAATTCCGGACTTGCCAGCGACAGTAGGTAAATTAAAAAAAAATGAAGCCTTTTGGTGGAAATTATACTTTTTTTCTCTTTTGCAAAACTAATCTTCTTGTGAAAATTTCGGATTGGCCATCGACAGGACAGTGGTATTTATGAAAAAAAAAAACTTCTTATTCCTTTTCGTGAAAAAACTTTTTTCTCTACAACTTACTGCTTGACCTACTTCGTTCGTCATCTCACGTGCCCCATTTGAGTTACTAGCGTGACTGTTTTTGACCTACTGCGTGTGACGGCCGATCTCACTTTGCAGCATTCTAATTATAACTCTTTCAGTAATTTGTGCGAGTTATACCATTCGTTGTTCAAAGTTACGAGCCTTTAACAACGGCCGACTCCTCAGTCTCGACATGAGGGCTCTGTTTTTGGCAGCGTATAAATATACGCCAAATAATTATTCGTAGACATCTGCTAGGTACTTATGGTGATAGATTGATGAGGAGGATTCAAGATACTTGCATGATTGAAGGGTTTTCAAATATTAATCTTTCGGTGATATTGGGATAATTAATTTTTCTTCGATTCTACACACTCGTTTGCATTGGGGTTGTAAGAATTCGGGAATTATTTCTATCATTATTAGAAACCATTTAGAAGAAATTGCTCGAATCATCTACGTAGACAAATAAAAATAATTGCTCATTTAAACGTAACTCTCAGTTCTCTTATTTTAGTTTTCATTTTCTTTAATATTTAATAAACTGTACCGTAATACAACTTCTTTTAATATTAATAACAGGCACTCTATTACAACTAGATCTTAATTCCCCAAAGTATAAGAAATAGAATATTTAAAGGTGAATAATAAACGTTAACACATAAAACGCTACGCCCGTAGCTCAAAGTTACAAGCCTTCGGGAACAGCTGCCTGACGCGGTAATTGCTTTGTTTTTGGCAAGCGGTAATGTTGCCAAGGCTTCGTTTCTATAACTTCAACGACGATGTAAACATAGGTTGAAATGTTATAGAGCACTGAATAGTAGGTACATTAAACCGGCGTTTCGTAGATACAGAAGTGAATTGAGTTGGTAAAAGGTAGGGTAAACCGTATAGCTATTGCCCACTTAAAGATTTCAAACACATTGAGATGAAAAATTAAAGAAAGTATTTTAATTATCGACCATTTATGACTTTTTTCTTATAACTCAATAAACTGTTAAACAGAATATTAACAGTTTTTAGTTAAAACTTACGTAACTTAGAAAATATTGAAATAAATTTAAAATCCTCCAAAAAGTACAGTCATTGCCCATTACTTACACTAATTGCCCACATCAAAGCACAGTAATTGCCCAGTATCTTAAAACAAAATAATCAATTTTAAAATGACAAAATAGGCTTTAAATAAACAAAACAAAACATTAAACTTAAATTCTAGTAGTACAGTCTTCAAAATTTCAAAATAAATTGCGTTTGGCCTTATTAACATATTATCAAATATTTCTTGAGCTGATGTTGATGAGTCAGAATCGGTAGAGACAGAATCATCTACTTCAAAACATAGATGACGCAAAAATTTGAATTTTATATGTAAATTTTATATGTATTTATTTTTTTATCTTCTTTGATATCAGTTCAAGTGGTTGCTCAGAATGTTCAATTAGCTGTTGGTTATTCTTCCCTAAAGTTGTATCTATTTCCTTACAATTAACATTTTCACTAGTAGATTTAACGTAGGATTTTCATTTTTTGTATTTGCGTTTGAATTTTTATCAATTTTTTCAAGCCAAACCATATTTTTCAGCAATTTATCTTGTAGATAAATTGTTGGATACATCTTGTACAGCTTCGATCGCTTTTTGCAAATTTTCTATGCTATATTGAACTTTTGGAGTCTTTGGCATACTGAAAATGAAACATTAAAAGCCATTTCAATATTTATGCCTGTAAATTGCAAAACAAGTCTAGCAATGAGCAACTTAAACACTGCTACTGCATGGTGGCAACACTCTAATAATAATTGCCCTGGGCAATAACTATACATTAACATATGGCAATAACTGAAATGATGGTGGGCAATAACTAAAAATATACAGATTTACGTGCAGTGATTACCCACCGTTAAAATGACCGTTAGAAATCAAATTTTATCAGTTATTTTCATTGATAATGGAGAAAACACTTATAATTTCATCATGACTATACACCATTAGTTGAATATTAAATAACTTGCAAAAAAAAATTAACCTCTAAGCAAGTCATTCCTTAGTAAAATTGTTAAAGTCTTTACCTGTCTGAGTAACATTTTCACCCGTCTTGACAAAATCCGCCATAACTGTTTTTTTTTAGTGTTTCCTATTGTAAATTTTAAATCTACTGTACATTGATCTCGGAGCCATCTACTTAGTAAATTCAAATCTAACTAGAGTGATTCAAAGTCAGCACCTGACAATATTATTCTTAAAGCGGGCAATCACTACCAGTGGGCAATCACTCTCTGGTTTACCCTATTACCTACCTAAATTTAAAAAAAAAAAGAAGTATTTTCTCACTGCGCTGTTTTATCAATCACCTGACTGCTAAAATAAAATTATATCAAAACGGTCGAACTCTATCTACATAATTATGCCCCAATAAATATATTACTTTAGTGGGTGGGTCCTGTTCTCTCCAAAGGGTTACAGAGACAGGTAAAAGGTACAGGGTAAGGGGACAGGTAAAACTAATCAAATCCTTTGTATGACTTTTAATGTAATTTAGAATAGAATAACTTCAGTAATAACTGTTAAGTCACATGAGGTTTTATGATATCGTGTTACGACGGCACAGATGTAAGGTGGAGGTGAACGATCTCATTGAAAAAGGTACGAGGCGCTAATAAGCCTAATGCTTTGTGTAGACAGTGAGCTAGCTAGTATGTATGGTGTTGAATTTTGTACAAAATGTTATACTCTACATACCCGTTTTGTAGTATTGTTACAGTTATTATCCAATGGCATATTATTTACAGTTTTGCCATCCTATCCTATTCTACTTCCTACTAATATTATAAATGGGAAAGTTTGTATGGATGTCTGGATGTTTGTTACTCTTTCACGCAAAAACGACTGAACGGATATTGATGAAATTTTACAGTATTATTGTTTATAACCCAGAATAACATATAGACTATAATTTATGACGATCTGTGACAAACTAAATTACACGCGGGTGAAGCCGCGGGCAAAAAGCTAGTTTATAGTAGTACAAACAACAATACATCAATTTACACACTGTTATCTTTATAGTTGTAAGTAATAATCCCATCAAAAACAATACTTGTCAAAANTGTTTCAAAACCTGTCAAGGAAAGGTTTTTATCAAATATCTTTGAGTATCTTTTATAGTTATCATGTATAAGCAGTATTTAGGGGGTGCTCAATACTTTTGGCCAAGGCTGTATACTATTTTGGAACAAAAACATACGAGCAAAGTCACAGAATACAATAAAGTTTAATGTGCTATCGACTGTACACAAAGCCGGTTAGCCGGTATTCCGTCAAAATTGATAATCTTCACCCTGATTTTTTGGTGTTTGCTTTCAATTATTTACAGTAATTACTTCTTTACAGGCCTGGGAGGGGAGGACCGAGACCGGCAACGGGGAGGGGGGTGAGCCCCCCCCACCGGCCCACGCGCCTCTAGACGCCGTTTGGCAGCCTGTTGCGGGTACTAGGTAAGTGGACTTTGCACTGTAATACTATTTTCGGCGACCGGAGATTTTGGGAAACGTACAGTTTCAATTTGATTCAGCACGGATTTTCAGGATAAATTGGGAAACCGAGTGTTGGTTTGAAGCGCTGCTAGGGGCCAAAATAGACTAAGGCTGAGTTGCATCCACCTAATTTTGACGGTAACTTTAACGATAACCCGTGTTTTTTGTTTGGAGTTTGACAGATTTTTGACTTTTGTCAAAGTTAAAGTAAGATGGTGCAACCCAGCCTAAGACTCCCCGTAGACTTTTTTTGGTCTATAGTTTGGTCGGTGTAATGCTGCATACTTCCATACATGTTCATATAACGATAAAAAATCTGTAGTCTGCCGGCGGAACGCTTAGATAATGTTTTGAAGATGAGTTAACAAAGCAATTCTTGCATTCGTAAAATGTTCCACTTGTAGATTTATGTAGTTTAGGTGTATGTAAAAATATCGATGAGTGCCTTTACTCGTATATGGCAGACTACTATGAGTAATGAACATAACGACAGTCTGTCAACGTTACATAAACATATTGTGATAACGTTCGCTTCTTTGACTTGTGAAGGTACACGGAAAGCTCAGAATACAGAACAAACCAGAAGGAGTGTTCGATAACATTTCTACGCGGCAACTTGTGTCCAAAATACTTCCCCTCCCGCGCCCCTCTACCCCCTTTAGTGTTACTAGCGCCGTGTGACACCCCCATTTTTGGGGTAAAATTATGTAATTTTTTAAAGAGATGTTAAACAAGTAAAAAATAAGTAAGTGAAATAAGTACACACGGCCAGTGTTAACTATCCATTTCCGTTTTTGCTCTCGCTCTTATCAAATGGTGATTCTTTGCGATAGAACGAGACGACATGACTGGCCATAGGCATAGATAGTACCTACCTACCTATGAATTTAATTTTTACTCCGAAGTAACTAAGTGTAAGATGATTATTTATTTCTATTAAATAGTGTAATATATGTACTATATTTTATGTAGGTATAATATGTTATTTAAAAGTCAATTACAAAAGTCGAATATAAATTTTAGAATGCCAAGTAAAACAAAAAAGAAACTTAAGGTTCTTTATTATGTAAACATATCGACAACAAAACATTTGTTTACGGCGCAGTAGTGCTTTTAGTTTAACTTTTCTTGGAGTCAAAAACAGAATCCAAATCAAAAACATCACCAATACTTAAATTTGATTGCGAGGCAACTCTGGCTGTGTATCCTGAAAAAAAATCAGAGTAAGTATGTAAGCAATAATTAATTACTTAAAATTATTATTAAATATACAAATATTGCTGCTGCTGATCTGTTGATACCAATGCCTTACTTTTGAATAAATGGGAAAGTATGAAATTCACGATAGTAATTTATTATCTCCTCATTATTAGGGAGTAATATTATAAATTAATTCAATATATTGAAATCAAATCAAAATCAAAAATATTTATTCAGTTTAGACCACAAGTGGCACTTATAATTTAATTAATCAGGTTGTCATGTCATGGATGAAATTACACTAAAAACTAATTAAAACAAAAAGGATGGGGAAAATATTCCATTATTCTGTGGTAACGCTAACAAAATTAACGCGTGAATTTTTTATAAGTAGACAAATGTAATTCAATATAAAAAAGTAGGGTAAAATATTCCGTTGACCTGTGGCAACACTTACAAAATACAACCGTGATTTTTTTTGAAAATTATTATTTAATTAAAATGAATTGGAAATGTGCTACTTACGGATAAAACATGATCCCATGCACTTTCTTCGTAATTCCAGTAGCATTCTTACATGTTGGAACGGCACAAGACGGCATAATTTAATTATAAAGTGTCAATCTGACGGATATGTAAACAATGCGCGCGCCGGCCATTGACTGATTGCTCTAAAGTCAAAGTAGTGCGATTTGGAGTACTTTATATGAATACACATTTTACGCCCGTTGACGGTTTCTGGTTTGTTCCGTATTCTGAGACGGAAAGTAATAACCATTTCCTTGTTGTTAGTTACACTTTGCCATCATATTTTGAACTTAAACGAAATGGGGTTCAAAACTGAATTTCAATGAAGCATATTTTACCCTATACTGGTTAAAGGGTGAATATACGAGAATAAATTGCTGATGTTAAAAGTATTAACGCTGGCCCTTTTATCTCGAATTGCATATTAGCCTCCGCGGAACGTGCTCTAACGGCCGCGGAAAATGAAATGAGAATTATCTCCTCGACAGAGTAATGGGAAAAACATGCATTGCTATCGCAATTTGCAGTTTTCCCGCGACGCGGTCTTAAGAATGGGAGAATATTACAAGCTTATGCTGAAGTACTTTCGCCATAATAGGTGTTAACACCATTCTCATTTTCGCGGTTATGTTCTTGGCTTGATGAAAGCTGATGAATATCTACAATATTTGTGCCACTGATCGAAATGTCGCGGCGGGGGTATAATAAAAGATTAGGTCAGGTTATTATTTATTATGTATAGACCAGACTGATATAACCATTTGTCTGACTTTTATGTGTTCACGCCTAAACCAAACCCAATATTTATTAATTAAGTATGTATGGGACCACGACCAAGGACATAAACAACCTTTTGCCTCAAAAACAATCTAATACCATGGCGCACGGGAAAAAGCTACTTATCGGATTTTTAAATGTTATATACCATTTTTTAAGAAATGCATGATTTATTACGAATATCTGAGAAATAGCCGGCCATGAAAGTATTTCAAACTTGAAGCCTAATGGGTTCGCTACACAAAAAGAGGTTTTAGTGTTTTTGTGAACGTTAAAATACTATTAGGATGGAAAGTTCTTCGGTGTCAGCTAATGAGAGTCGATTTGGAAAACGTGAGAGGATCGTGTGACAGCCCGTGGTGGTTCTAATAAAAACTTTTATATCTAATACTTATAAACTAGTGGTCTGACTTTGGAACTGCCAGCAAAAGTTAGTTTGTTGTACTGACAACTGACAGGGGTAATACTATTAGGATGTGAGTCCAATATTATTGTCTATTTGACTAACTTTATTATTACTGGATAGTTAATATGATTTACTTACAGCTTTTGGCCGCGGCTTTACCCGCGTGAAATTAGGTTTATCATTGAAAGACTTTCGCGCGCGTCTCTCCCTTTCTGAAACCGGGATAAAACTATTTTATGTTTTCCCTTTTATCTCATACTAATACTAAACATGTAATTCGGTTCAGTGGTGGCCATGAAAAAGTGATAGACAAACAGTTACTCTCGCTTTTATACCTTTAGTAAGTATGGATTCATCGTGCTTTTACGAAGTCGTCTTTCTAACATGTCACATGTTATTATTAGGATCCCGGCCCAAGTTTCTGTCGGTTAACAGCATTATAATGACAATTTGATAGGTACTTTTCAATAAAGTCAGTTCTTGAAAGAAATTTTCCTAAACTCTACACGAACTAAGTATTTAATGTCAAAATAAACTTTAAAGAGTGAATAGTGATCCCTTTCACACAATACCTACACTTTTATTGGTTTTTGCTTTGACTTTAAATAAAGGAATAACATAACGTAAGCGACTAACGTACTTTTGTTAGTTGTTACTCATCATAGGATTAACGTTATCATCATAATTATTTGTTTTGGGCGAGCTTTTTATTTAATGTGCTTTCGAAAATGGCTCGTAATCATTATAGTCAATAACTTACCATGAATCATTTAAAACATTTGTGATAGCATTGATATTATTAATTTGTGCAGATTTATAGACGAAAAACCGACTCAAAAAATATCGCTAAAAGTAGAAAAATAATAACATTATTTAAATATTTATCCCATGATTAATAATGTCGGAATCGTTGCCAGTCTGCCAAGTGCCAAGGTTAAGAATCATATAAAAGCCTCTTGAATCTTAAACTTGTACGAGTATCTAGAATGTACTAAAGATGATTTAATATAGTCATAGTTCTTTAATGTAATATTTGTACTTATCTTCTAATATTTTTTGGGACATAGTTAGGTTTAATACATTAAAGTGCCACAATTACAAGAACATTTACGTTGCGTTCGTTCACTTTGCGTTAATTACTGTGAAGGGAAATAAACGGGCCTATTGGGTCGGATTACGGACTGAGGTAATTAAAAATAGCGATAATAGTCGTAAGTTATTACGTGCAATTTGGGTGCTTTTGAGTGTTAATAAAATTAAGATAATTTTTAATATGGTTAACAAGGTGTTGACCACAACAATCGATAAAGAATGTTTAATAGGCAAATAATATAATTTATTATGAGAGAGCTAGTTAATTTATAGAAGGAAAGGTGTGCTAAAATAGTAATTAATAACTTTAACTCATAAAAGTTTAAGTCAGATACTAAAACACTCAGGCCCTTACTAATAAAACTTACACGCTCGCTGAACAGTGTTTTAAAATGACATTTCGTTTGGAAACATCATTTTCAAAAAGTGTTTAACAACTGTGTAACTTTTAATAGTAAGGGGGTCTTTTAATGACTACGAATAATCGAGATAACGGTGCGTCGTCGTATGGCAGAAATTGATATAAAATAATTATTTTTTTTCTAAAAATATAATTCAGTTACTGTTTTAGATGCTTAAAATGACAGCATTAATACACCTACATTTACATTAACTAGACCAAATGCGAGTATTTGTTAGCTTTTACAATACACGCTACGTTAGATCATTCGTTATTATTACACGATAATTCAATTACATAATTCATTTTCGTTGATTGTCTGTTACGTTTAAATACTGTTTTTCATAAATCAAAAGCAATTAGCTAGTTATTCAGTGCGTGTGTTCACGCCCTTGGTATTTTGACTCAGTTTGCGCACGTGTATATGCGTGTTTGTCTACAAGTTGTGGAATGAGTGGAGCTACTAATTTGAGTTAGCTGTTGAACTAATTATTTACATCTGATTGGGTCAAGTTTGTAAACTTTCGTAATTGGTAAAAAGGGCAAGGGTGTGGATGA